AACCACATTTATGTAGGCTGATTTCTGGCCTCTATGTTCTCTTGTATGGAACCATTTGTCTTTTCTTTCATACATTCCACACTGTCTTGATTAACAAAGCTTTATAAAGTTTTGAGTCAGGTAGTTTTAGTGAAGAATAACTTTGTTCTTTTTCAATATTGTGTTTCCTATTCTGGGGCAATTTGTAATTTCCATAAAAAACAACTTGCTGTGACTTTTTTATTGGGACTGTGTTGAATCTATAAACCAATGTTTATTTGTTTATTTAGTATTTTTTGAGACAGGGTCTTCCTGTGTAGCCCAGGCTGACCTGGAACTCACTGTGAAGCCCAGGCTGGCCTAAAGTTAGAATGCTCCTACCTCAGCCATGAGGTGTTGGGTTGCAGGCCTGTACCACCATGCCCCCGATCCTCAAGCTGTTTTTAACTCTTCCTTTCCATGAACATGGAATATCACTCCATTTCTTTAGTTCTTCGCTTTCTTTCATACAAGTTTTGTAGTTTTTCTCATCTGTCTGTACATATTTTGTTAGATTTATAATTATTAAGGTTCTGATTTGTGTAAATGGTGATATATAGGAAAGTGATAGACTTTTTACATTAGTACCTCATGGCATGCAACATTGCTGTAATGCTTATTGTTCTAGGAGTTCTTTTTAAATGGACTGTGTTAGGTTTTCACGTAGATGATCATGTCATCTGTGAGCAATGACAGTTTTTTTTCCTCCTTCAAAATCCATACATCTTTTATTTATTTATTTATTTGTTTGTTTTATTGCAATAGCTAGCATTTTTAGTACAATTGAGAAAGAGTGATGAGGGGGCATCCTTGCCTTGTTTCTGATCTCTGCACCATTGAGTTTTCTCACCACTGAGTTTGATTCTGGCTTTAGGCTTTTTGAAGATTTTTTTTTTTTTATCTAGATTAAGAAGTTTCCTCTATTCTTACTTGCTGAAAGTTCTTCTTCTTTTTTTAAGAATAAATGGATGTTGAATTTTGTCAAATGCTTGAATGCATCTATAACATAGTCATGTGATTTTTATCTTTTAGCTTGTTGAATGATGTATTACATTAATTGACTCTCCAATGTTAAATAGACCTTGTATATGTGGAATAAATTTGACTTACCCGTGGTGTATGATTCCCTTTGTGCATTGGTGGACTCAGTTTGCTAATATTTTGTTGAGTAGTTTTGCATCTATACTCATAAGAAATTACTATTCCTTAATTTTATTTCTTGTAATGTCTTTGTTTTGAAATTAGGGTAATACTGGCCTCAACAATAAGTATTCCCCCTACTTTTGTCTTCTGGAAGAAATTGTAGAAAATTGACACAATTTCTCACTGAATATTTGGGAGAATTCACCAGTAAACCATGTGAACTTGATGTTCTCTGTTGGGAAGTTACCAATTGTTGATTTAATTTCTTCAATAAATGTGGGCCTATTCAGATTGTCCATGGGATCTGCAGTGGCTTCTCCTATTTCATTTCTGAAATTAGCAACTTATGTTCTCTCTCTTTCTCCTTAAATTAGCTGGCTAAAGGCTGATTGATTTTATTGATCTTTTCAAAGGATGAACTTTTGGTTTCATTGATTTTTCTCTGTCTAGTTTCTATTTTCAATTTTATTGATTTTTTGCTCTCATTTTTGCTACTTTTTTTCTGCTTATTTTAGACTTAACTTGCTTTTGTTTTTCTTATTTCCAATGGTGGAATCTTAGTTTATTGATTTTGGATCTTTATTTTTTTAATGTTCAGTACTAAAATTTTCTCCCTAAGCACTGCTTTCATCATACCCCAGATTTTGGTAAGTTGTACTCTCATTTTCATTTAATTCCAGATATTTAAATTTTTCTCTTGAGATCTCATTAACTCCTGTGCCATTTAGAAGTGTGTTTGCTAATTTTTATGCATTTTTAGATTTTTCCAGTTCTATTTCTGGTTTATTTATTCAACTGTGTTGTAAATACAGACACTGTAAGATTTTTATTTTTTAACAAAATAAAATGGCCCAGAGCATGGTCTGTCTTGTTGAATATTTTATGTGAGATTGAGAAGAATATGCATTCTTCTGTTGTTAAAGTTGCCTATAGAGATTCAGTGTATGCAGTTGGTTGAGGGCACTGTTGAATTTAACTTCACCCTTCCTGTTTTTATGCCTGTTGTATCTGTCCCTTTCTAGTAGAGGGGTGTTGAAATCTCAACTGTAATAATAGATCCTTCTGTTTGTTTTTGTGGTTCTATTAGTTTTTGCCTCATGTATTGATCCTCTATTGCTTGGTACATACACATTAGGGATTATTATATTTTATTGAAGAATTTACCCCTTTATCATAATATTTCTCTCCATTCCTGATAATCTTTCTTGCTTTAATGTCTGCTCTGTCTGAAATTAATATACTAACTCTAGCTTTCTTGTGATTAATGTTAGCATGGTGTTTTCTCCATTTCTTTACATTTAAAGTGTATAGTTGAATCTTGTGGTTTGGTGACTCTAACAGTCTCTAAATTGATTTATTTATACCATCAATGTTTAAATGATTGTTAATATAGTTGGATTAATTGCTACCACATTTATTACTGTTTTGTATTCTCTGCTCTTTTTCTTTGTTCATATTTCATGTTCCACTCTTTCTATGCCTTTGATCTCTTACAAATTTTTTATTATTTATTTATTTATTTTGCAGTATCGGGGTTTGGACTCAGGTTCTAAACCTTGAGCCACTCCGCCAGCTCTTTTTTATATTGGGTATTTTCGGGATAGGAGCTCTTGCCTAGGCTGGCTTTGAACTGCAATCCTCCTGATCTCTGCCTCCTGAGTGGCTAAGATTACTTGTGTGAGCCACTGCTACCTGGCCTTTTTATCATTTTAATTAAACATCTATTGAAAAAAATCTATTTTCTCTCTTCTCTTAGCTTATCAAAAAAATTTTATCTTCTACTTTTTAGGGCTAATTGTCCTAGAGTTTGTAATAAGTTTGCAACTAATCTGAGTTTACTTTCAGATAACACTATACAGCTTCACAGGTATTATAAGCATCTTATGGTAAAATATTTCTACTTCTTTTTATTACTTGTTATTGCTGTCATTCATTTCATTTTTATATAAGCATATGTATATAAGCACATGTGTGCATATACATGTACACATGTAAATCAAATACATTGCTGCTATTATTAGTCTGAACAAACTATTAGATTAATTAATAATAAGAAAAGAATACATTTTATTTTGTCTTCTCATTTCTTTTCTAGTGCTCTTCTTTTCTTTATGTAGACCTGATTTTTATCTATAGCATCTTCCTTTTTTGCTTGTTGCTCTTTTAACATTTCTTACAAGGCAGATCTAATGGCAACAAATTCATTCAATTTTTGTCTGTGAAAGTCTATCTTCTTTACGTTTGGAGTTAATTTCATAAAATACAATTCTCTCATTTTTTCTCTTACTCTTTAGTATTTCACGTCACTCTCTTCTTACTTGTGTGGTTTCTGAGAAGTTGGATATAATTATTATTTTTGCTTGTTTATACCAAGTATAACCTGAAGTTTTGTGCACTATATAAAGTACCTTGATGGTTCGAAAGAGTTGATGGTTAATAAATGTTCAAAGGAATTTGGCATGCCTTGTAGCCTGGCTCATTATTTAAATTTAGCAATAACCAGGCATATTTAGCATAAGATCTTTATGATATTCACAAAGCAAATGTGTGTCCTCATGGAGAAAACTTGTGTAGATTTTGGGTTTAAATAGCGATAATTGAAAATTAACATCATTTGCAAAACTGCCAATTTGGTAGCAGGTAGTGCAAGAGGCTTTATTTGTAGTACAAAGAAGCACTTTCTAAGGCATTCATCTGTTATTAATGTTGATCAATTTCATTTTATGCAAAATAGAACTTTAACAATTCATAACTTTTTGATTGGAGATTATTGTTTGAAAATAAAATTGAATAAGCATCATCTTGAAAAAATTAAGTCAGGCAGACTATCCTGAGATCAAGCAAAACAAATGTGAAGATTTTTCATCTTTTAGTTATTTGTGAAACTATGTACTTCCTGGTTTCCCCCCTCCATTTGTTTATTGAGTAGGGTGGTTTGGTATCTGATTTCCATTTTTGGTGACGTGTTTAATAAAACCTGTTAATATTGTCATGCACATGCCAATGTATTAAGATCGTAGAAAACTTGCCTCTTTTTAAATTATTGTAGACTTTTATCCTGTTAGACAAGCCTATTTAAATTAAGTCAGGCAGACTATCCTGAGATCAAAGCAAACAAATGTGAAGATTTTTCATCTTTTAGTTATTTTTGAACTATGTACGTTCCTGGTTTCCCCCCTCCATTTTTTAGTGAGTAGGGTGGTTTGGTATCTGATTTCCATTTTTGGTGAGGTGTTTAATAAAACCTGTTAATATTTGTCATGCACATGCAATGTATTAAGATCGTAGAAACTTTGCTGACTGTGATATATAGCAATACATTGAAATTAATATAAGTAGTTTACGGATAATTAGGGTGGTTACGGGTAATTAGGTGGGTCCAACCTACTTTGGACAACTGCCCTAGACAATGTCATTGTAAAAAGACTTTTTTCCTGATATTGAGCAGCACAACAAAAACAAACAAAGTGAATGATGCAAACGGCTGCTGCTTCACCTTTGTGTAAGCCAGGCTTTCCTACTGGCCAGGTACAAAGCCTCACTGAACTCTTAGAATGTGGCAGGCCTGCTTTACATTTTCCACAAGTACTTGTTAAACCTGATAGCAAAGAAGTTCTAATAGTCAAACTGTAGTAGTGTCTTTAAAGCATGATCTAAACTTCTTGATGATTCTATGGTGGGAGAGAAGAGACTGGAACAAGGAATAACCTTAGCATCAAAGAATGTTTCTGGTATGTGTTTACTTATTTTCAAAAGGAGTGTTTTATTAGTCTCAAGGAAACAATGAGATTCTATATTGGAAGCTTCTTTAAATTTCTGTCATTTTATTTCTAGGTTAGAGCACCAGTATTCCCATAAATTCACGGTAGTGTGTTTACATGCCACCAAAAGTAACAAAGGGGGCCTTCGGTGACATGCGTAAGTATCTTTTTCTCTTCATTGTTGAAAATGCTGAGTTCTGGCTCAGGTTCAGTTGCTTGAGTTCTTTGACAAGCCAGGGGACTTTCCCTTCCTTTAATGTGGTCATCTTATAACACTTGGAGCAGTTCTGATGTTGTTATCTTGTTAGATTAGCCTTTTACTTCAGCTTTACATTAACTGAGAACACTTGTGATCAGACAAAATGACTCTCTGGTAACACACAGGTCTTTGGAATTCAAAGTTCTGCTCAATTCTATTTGGAAAAAGCGCTGAGTCAAGACTTCAAATGAGCTGCCTCTGTGAGGTAGTATTCTTATAGGATTAAAAGTGCCGTTTATGTAACTCTCATGCCTCCCAGTCTGTTTATTATGTATGGGATAACTATAGAAACTGGCAGGACATCCTAGAATGATGTGAATGGCTGCCTGAGGATAATGTTGAATTAACTTGTTGGGAGTATTCTTCTCTAGGCAGTTTTCCCTGTTAATCTTAAAATTCAAATGGTTGGGGTTCACAGAGGTTGGAATGCAAAGAGAAATGCAAAAATCATTATGACAGTGAATATGGTGAAGTTTTAGATTATTGCCAAAACATAGGAATGAGCAATCTAACCCTCAGAATGAGTTTTGGAGACAGAACAATATTGTAATTTCCTGCTGTGCGTTGGATAAACAAATTGCCTATTTTGTTTTACCTCTGCTGTCACACCACAATCATCACAGAAGCCTCTGACACCAGATGTGTGGGGATTTCTCTCCACCAGCAAGTAAGCAATCACTCTGTAGCCAGCACCAGAACACCAGTGGAGTGTCATTCATTTCGATTCTGAAACTATCTACCTGGAGATAGTGTCAGATTCCACAGGTTGGGGCACTGTGTGTCTCCAAGAATCCCCTTCCCCACTCCTTTTGAGACCAGTCTCAAGTCCCAGGTTTTTTCACCCTTGTTCCCTTAACCCCTCCTTGGGTTCCATTAATTTGCTGGAGCGGCCACAGAGCTGAGAGCAACACTTACTTCCGTTCACCACTTTGTTATGAAGGATGTCATAAGGCATGTAGATGAAGATCTAAGGCACACAGGGCAAAGGGTATGAAATTTCCATGTCTTTTCCAGGCATCACCTTCAGTTGTCTACAAGCTCTCCAAACCCGAACCTTGTCCTTTGGGGTTTGGTGGAGATATCACTGCATATCTAATGCTGACAGGCTGGGTGGGGAAAACCAGTAAGGTCTGCCTGCTTGAGCATTCTTCTTGGTCTCTCTGCAGCATTCCTTGCTCCAGGGTATGGGGCAGGAGTCTTCTGGAATCAGGCAAGTCTGGAGACCTCCTGTGTGACGAAAGGGTGGGTCAGAGAATTTCTTTATGGCTAGATCCATGACACAAAGATGAAGGAAGATTAGAGTTTCCGTGACCTGCTTTGAGGAAGGGAAATACTGGTCTCTGTAGCCTGCTTTGGGAAAAGGGTTATGAGCCAAGAGCCATGGACAAAAATGAAGACTATGTATCATAATAGCACACTTGTTAAAGTGACCTTTAAACCAGAACTGGAGGGAAGAATACCTTGGCGGTGAGAACAAGGAGAAGTCCCAGTCAGAGTGCTTATCAGAAGCTAGAACAGAACCAATATCGCTTTAGAAGTGACATCAAATGCCCAGGGAGGGTAGAGAGGGCCAGCTTGACCAGTATGAGTAAGACAAAGTCTAGGTCTGAGATTGTTATTATATATGCAGTGGAAAGAATTAGGTGGCATTTAAGTAGTATGTCACACATTAGTTTCTCACTTGAAAATGTTCTGGTCATTTTGTATTAAATCTTTGGAAGAGAATGTGGAAAACAGTTTTTTGGTTTTTTTTTCCCCAAGGATAGGAAAGACTTGAGCTTGCTGAAATGTCGTGAAAAGGCTAGTAAAGAGGGAAAACTTAAATTCAAAGAAAAGAAAGAATGTGAACTCTGTACCCAAGCCATTCAGTAAGTTGGTAGATGTCAAAAATGAGAAGAATGGGAATCTAATGACAGGAGAGGTGTGACAATCTCGTCACAAATAGTGTGAGTCAGAGGTTTATAAATTTTAGACTTCAGTCTACACACATGATCACTCTTTGCCAATTTTTAAAAAATGTTCTTATTTTGCTTTAGCCCATTCTTAGCATTTTCATCAATTACATGGGAGTTTTCTGGAAGAAAGGCTCTTGTGAAAGAAAAGCCACATTAGAAGCCATTGGCAAAGACTGGAATTCTCCACGACCTTAAGGAAAGGCACAGGTCTTACAAGCAAAGGAACAGGTCTACCAAACACTATCCCAATGCCTTGCTTGGCATGCAAAAGACAGACCTAATTTGACTTTTAAAATATAGTTATTTTATATAGGCAAAGCAACAATAGCTCTCTTCTATCAACGCATAGTTCTATTATGTACAGACAGTGGGTGTCACTATGTTAAGATGTATCTAACTCAGACTCTGTACTCTGACTTTTTCAACTGCTGTGGGTTGGATTCCTTAGCAACTTTAATAGGCCCCAGATGCTTGGGCAGTGATTATTTACTATAATGAGAACGGGGAAGAGAGTGATGCAGCGTGTGTGTGGCTCCCCAAGTGTTTATGATGCAGGTTAGACCCTTCAATTCTAGAAAAAATAGGCACTGGAGATTAATTTCTATAGGAGAATGGACAGTGTTAAAGCATTATGTTAGAAATGTTTATTCTGCATGTGTAATTTGGTTTGGTTTTTTTTTTTTGAATTTTCTCTTTTTTTTTATTATTGTATTATTGCTGTACTAGGGGTATTTTGTGACATTTACAAAAGTGCTTGCAATGTATCATAGTTAAAGTCAACTCCACCATCATTCTCCTTTATTCCCTCACCCTACTCTTAGAATAGTTTCAACAGGTCTCATTTTCCATTTTTATACATGAGTGCCTCATATTTTCTCCATTTGGTTTGTTTTGTTCAGGTTCATATGTGATTTGTATTTTTTAAGAGTCGGGAGTTGTTGCTTGCCTCATGTATCAGCTAATGATTTTGTAGGAAGTTGGGAAAAGACAAGGAAGAAGGAACAAGAAGGAGCTTTAGAAAAACAGATTTCATGATAAGGTTAGTCTAACCATATGAAGGGATGATATATAGTTCCAACAAAGTTGTAGGAGTTACAGTGAGAAAAGGCATAGGCAAACTTCTGAGAAGAGTTGATGATACTGCTTGATGAACTTGAGTTACACAAAATACCTAGTAGGCTGAATTTGACACACTCATATATAACAGTTCTTTAAAGATAGACAAGAATAGAAAACTATAAAAATATTTTAAAAATTGTCAAAACTATAAAACTATTTAAAAAATCCTATTGGGGTTCTTAGTTCTGCTTGTGTAGATGAGGGCTTTCTTAAGCATGCCATACAAATCAATTTCCTGGCAAAATACCTACATGTGCTTGCTTTGTTTTAGGTAGCACTGAGATTTTGTATATACATATATATGTATAACTTTATCTCTTGATAAATTGTCCTATCCTAATCAGCCACATTTAGAAATACCCTGCTGCACTGTTAAAACATCTTAATAAAATCAGGAGCATCTCATGAACTGTCTTCTGAGGAGTCAGAGAGCTAATATGTAATTTAATTAATTAATTAATTACATTCATTTGAGACAGGGTCTCACTATTGTAGCCCAGGCTGGCCTCCAACTTACGATTTTGCGTCTTCAGCTTTCCTAAATGCTGGGATTCTGGGGTGCACAACCATGCCTGGCTGGGGCTAACATTTTAATTACAAACTCTCACTCACTTCCTTGTTTTCACCACCTGAGGGCTTTGGGTGAGCCAAGAACAAGTCTCCAGTCCTTTGCTGGGCATGGTTGTTAATTTCAGTATCACTGAGTGCTGATACTAAAATGTATCATCCATACCTAGTGCCCCTGGTCCAATTCAGCTCTATTCTTTCCTCTTGCAGATCATAAATATTAGGGCTTCTGAGGACAGTTGTAGGATTGCAAATGGATCTAACTTTTCTTAAGAATTCAGGAGACAATAGAGTTTAATGCCTACATTTAAACTTGAAAAAATAAATATCTTCAGGAGAATTATGAACTCATTGTATTTAAGCCAATTTAATACCTTAAGATACTCTTTTAAGATTTTTCTTAATAACTTCAAACTTTTATTTTTTTTTAACCTCTGTGGGTAAACAGTGTTTTATTTCATACGAATTCATAGCATATCCGGATAAAATTTCTAATTTTTAAGTGGTGGTGCCATTTCAGGTTTGAGGTTGACCTAACCTTGCAAGACAGTGCTCCTTGAATTTTAATGCCCATGTGAGTCACCAGGGTAATCTTGTTCAAAATGCAGATTCTGATTCAGTAGGTTTAGGAAGTAGATTCTGCATTTCTAGCACATGTGTGATGCAGGCACTGCTGCTGGTCCATGGTCCACGTTTTGGGAGGCAGAGGGTAGGCTTCTTCTTTTATTTTCTGCTTGCTTACCCTGAGATACACAGGACTTGTGGGCAGAACTTAGACTTTACATATTTTTCAATGGAACAAAGATTCTAAGGTATTGGTTTTTACAGATTTTATTTTTTTTTAAAATGACATGGCATGAACACCTTACTACTGCTTATTTTTTAATACTTGTAAAGGATGTTTAATTACCTAACTTACTATAATATCATTGAGAAGACTGATAGAAAATACGAATGCTGTAAACCTGTAACGCGATTACATTATTAAATCCTAGAAATTCTTTTACACTGAACTCATGATCAGACATTGCAGGTTATGAAAAATGAACATTCATTTTTATCATTCCAAAGGTCATAGTACTTACTTAAAGTCAAATGGTCAAATTTATGCCAGGTACTTACATACACATACACATTCACAAATACATTATTTTCCTCATACATAAAGATATCTTCCATAAGTATTTTAATAGAGTTTAATGTTCCCTCAACTTAATTTGTGATTGTGAGATATTTGAGACACATTCAGGCAGTGTA